AGGGAATCCAGGACAGATGATCCCTTCAGGATCAGTGCTTAGAGTGGTGATACCGGGAGAGTGGAGGGAGGGTGGGGTGGAAAGGCGGAACTGATTACAAGGATCTACATATAACCACCTCCCTGGGGGATGGACAACAGAAAAGTGGGTAAAGGGAGACGTAAGCTATGACAAATAACAATTTATAAACTATCAAGGGCTCATGAGGGAGGGGGGAGCAGGGAGAGAGGGGGAAAATGAGAAGCTGATGCCAGGGGCTTAAGTGGAGACCACATGTTTTTGAAAATGATGAGGGCAATGAATGTACACATGTGCTGTACACAATTGATGTATATCTGGATTGTGATCAGAGTTGTATGAGCCCCTAATAAAATGATTTAAAAAACCCAAAGCATCAAACACATGTTGGTGTTGTCACCAGGTTGACTCTGACTCATGGTGACACCACACAGTGTAGACCACCTGTGACTGCTTCCAAACCATGGGTGATTTTCAGACTGTTTCTCCAAAGTGTTTCAGAGGGTTTTAAATGTAAAAATATCAGTACCAAGTAATGGAAACATTTAGAAAACAAAAATATCAAAATGAAGTTATGTCTCCTGATATCCTCCCTCTAGGTCTTTATACCTCTGGCAGCGGTGTTCCCATTTCTCTCAATCTTCCCCAAAGGACACCGTGCTCTTCTGGTCCTTCCACATCCACCTTGGAGGGACTCAAATCATGTTCTTTAAATGTTGAGTTTGGGGGAACAAACAAGTCTGAAGGGGCAAGGGTGGATGGGGTAATAAGTCCCAACCAAATTCTCCTGAGATAGCCCTCGCTACCCTGAAATAAGAAGCAGGTACATTGTCATGATGGAAAAGCATTACCTGGCACAACTTTCTTTCCGGGCTTTTTTTCTCACTGATACAATTATTCTGTCCTTCCAAAAAAAATGTCTATCAAGATGATTTCTTTGGCATCCCTCCCCAAACAGTTCACATGACCCTTTGAGCTGACCTCTGTTTTGGATTTAAGTAGTCCAGCAGATCTACCTGGCAGCCACTGCTCAGATTGTACCTTCGAAGACTCCTTAAGGATACCAAGACACATGTATCACTGAGAGCATTTGTCCACAGCTATCGACTGATTGCAGAGACATGTGTAAGCATGTTTTCTTTGGAATACACCCGTGCATGTCTGAACCAGAACCCTAATAGCAGTACTTTTTGGCTCACCCTCATGCATTTTAGCAGGATCATTTCATAAGCCCAGCAAAGCACAAAGCAGACAAGACACGGAAAAAGAAATGTTTTATTATCAAAAATAGACAAACTTTCATTTCCTTTAACAGGAATATTTGAGTCTCCCTAAGCCATCCCCCTTTGCTAAGCATTAAAAAAATGAGTTCAAGTCAACTGTTAGGGAAAAAACAAAAGACAAGGTTTCTATCTCCATACCAGAGAGAAGACTCCACTATAGTGGCAGTGATTCTAAAACAAACAGTTATAGAAACACAATTAACTTTAAAGCAGTATTAAAAAAAAAAGGGACTTATTCTGTCGCACAGCCTTACAAAGTTCAGCTACCTACACATTGAAGAGTTCAATTTATCAGAACAAGTGCTAAGGGAGTCAGGAACAGGTTCACACCCGCTGTGAGCAACCCCAGGGTGTGACCTCAGATAAGGTGGTACCCACAGGAGGAAACCTGAAATACACTCCTGTTCAATGACCTACAGCAAGGGTGTGAAGGCCTGGTTGAATGGAACTTCATAATTCGTAGACTAAATTAACTATATTAAATGAATAACGATGTAGCAAGTAGGGGCAAAAAAAGAAAGGCATTTATTGTTTCATCAAGGAAAGCACCCCAAGTGAAGTCAAAGGAAAGCTGGGCACGTGCAGTCGTACCTAGACCGTATTTCTCACTCGGTAACTCACTTCCAGCAGGGTGGTGTAGTGGGTTACTCTTGGGGCTACTACCAGCAGTTTGTGGTGGTGGTGGTGGAGGTGGAGGAAGGTGAGGAGGCTTTCTCTTCCTGTAAAGATCGACAGGCTCAGAAACCCGACAGGGTCAGTTATACTCTATCTGATAGGGTTTCTGACCCGATGGCAGTGAGGTTTTTTTTTGGTCAGTACTGTAAAACAGGTCTTCAGCGCTTTAAAAGTTGTAGTCTGCAGCTGTGTCCTTTGAAAATTCAGGTTGAGTGATAGTTTAAAGCTGTTTCCAGAAAAGACCAGAGATGACATAACACTGAAAAGGTGAGAGGTCTCATCCCATACATAATATAACAAACAAACACAACACCTAGGTTATCAAATGAAGCAGAAAGGAATTGGATCCCAGAACTGACTTCCTTTTCTCAGCTTTATTCCCCACACAAGAGAACACTGATTAACTACATGCAAAAGAAAAAAAATATCAGTTCAACGTTATCTATTTTTTGAGTTAAAATACAAAATTCAATGCTAGGGAACTACAAAACTGAACACCATTGAAAACAATACTGTGGTCATGAGGAAGAGCCCTCGTAGCAGTGGTAAATCTGGCCACCTACAGGTTGGCAGTTCAAATCTATTAGCTGTTCCTGGGCAATCTGCTTATAAATAAAGATTTATACCCTCAGAATGTGGGACAGCTTCTCCCTGTTCCTTAGTGTCACTCTGGCAGGTCAAGCTTTAGAATCTCCTCAAAATAGAATAGTAGGGATGACACAAAACAAAGACATAATTCTGTTGTCTTTGTGACTTTTTAAAATTCGCTCTTGCCTAGAGTTAAATTTTATTTAAGTTTGCCTGCTTCTTTCTACCATACTGCTTAAGTCCTTCAAATTGAGGAGGGGCAAGAAATTGGTGGTATGAGTTTCTGGAGAGTTTGACTGGCTAAATATTGTTTATAAAGTTTCCATGATTGAAAGGATCACTTCCAGAACTTCGAGTCTATTACCAAAACTATCTGGAAACAGTTGTTAAATATAAAATTGAAGTAGATGGTTATTTTGTTTCCATATTCCATTCTGCAGAAAATGTGAGACGGGCAGATATACATTCTCTGTGACCACAATCAAACCTCTAACACATTGCTGAGAATGTGAAACACCAAAGGCAGATGAACTATATGAGGTTTCTGCTTGGTACTAGGAAAACTACAAATGACTTTAACTGAGCAGCTGCATAGTTTTATTATCCAATCATAAAAGGAGCTTAACATTTTTTAACACTCCTCAATGACTGTTGTTCCAATCAATGAGTAAAGCCTTTTCTTAACAAGTCGAAATCCTGAGCTGAGGATCAGAGTTCTCCGGAGGCCAGATGAGAAGCGAGCTCGCCTAAGGAGAAAGTCCCTGAAGCTGGTCCATGAGCAGTTTTCCTGCTTAAACACCAGTGTTAGCTCAAAGGTTGGCACCACGCTAGAATCACATACAATCCTATCCAGCTTTTTACATACATTTTCAATCTCCAAGTTCACGTGCAAAACACAACCTCGCAGGCCACAGGGCTCTGTGGAGGAAAGCCGCAGGACATCTTGAGCAATTCTCTGGGTCAGTTTCTCGGGGACAAGGACCTTTGAGCACCCAAGTTTGGTCTGCTTTGATTTGGACAGACAGTTTTCCAGCATCGTAACCAAACTCTGGCAAGTTGTCTCCTCAAAGATCACCTCACTGAGATTGGGTTCAGGAACAACATAATCCCAGTAGTCAAAATCTATAAGAAATGCAAATTTAAGATAAAAAATGAAACTTAAATTCCTGAGCAGGTAAAGCACACCCAGAGGGCACCATGTTTCCTCCTATCTACCAAGTCTACCTGTTCCCAATTTTGTTTGGCAGCCACAGCCAGTGGATCTGACTTTGCTGTTAACTAAGTCACCCTGCAGGTCATGCCATCAGAGGCAAAGAGGTCTTCCTTGGCTCTTTAAATGTTGGAGTAATAATGGTTTTGATAAATAGGTTAGGTTGAATACAGCCATTTCCCCTATATTTTTATGTGCACACATCCATACAATCTTAAAGACTATGTGTACACAAATTGAATTGTGGTCAACCTAAATGATGAAGATTGCAAGTGATTTTCATTTTGTTTCTTGGGAATTATTTACATACTTGAACGAGAGTTTGTTCATCATTAGAGTTAAACAAAATATTTTCTCTAATTTCCACATCGCTAACAGTGAAAATAACTTCAAAATATTGCTTCCATTTATTTGGTTATGGAGTTGTATAACTTTTGTAGACAACAAGTATTACATTAGGAGTAAAAATGATTCAAAGTTTTGTTTTATTTTTGTCTAAAGGACTGTTTTCTCCTCACTTTTAGAGTGTGTGTACTTATTACAAAGTACAAAATGTTATTCTTAAGTACATTTATTATGAGTTTGATTAGTTATATTAAACATCCATCAAATCTACTTCGTTAAAAATCTTTACCAGACTGTTCTGCAGATTCCAATTTTAGCTTCAATTTCTTTGATTAAAATTTGCTGGAGGAGAAGACTTTTGAGGTTCAGAAGAATATTTATAACCGGCTGGGTGGTTTTTCTTAGCCAAGCAAAACAAAACAGTCATTGGAAAACAAAATTAAATTTGCCCAAAGGAAAAGAGATAGGTCTGCATTTGGTCACCTACCTCCCAAATTAATCCTACCACTTGGCAGCATGCCACACCACACAGTTCCACCCACCAAGGCCAACGTCCTGCCAGCCAGCTCACCTCCAACTTTTACAGGTTACTAAGTTTTCCTCTATCCACATCATGGGACCACTTGGCTCACCATTTTTAGTAACTAAACAAAACCGACACACTCCAAATTATAAGGGCTCCCTATTTTTTATGTAATTAGAGCCATTTCAGATAAAATTTTACTTGTGAAAGCACATTTAGAGATCTCATTTAAGCTTGTGTTTTACAAATGAGAACGATGTCAAGAAAGGTAAAATTAGTTTTCCGAAGTTAAATTACAGTGACCTACTTACCTACCTACCTCTAGGGTTCCTTTTTTTCCCCAAATCTAACCTGAAAATCAGAAAATTTTAGGGATATAGAATTAGATAGCTAACCCTTTTGCTGTTTTTCCGCACTGTCATTGAGCCACAGCCCTGGGGGGCTTTGTAGTGAGCTTTACTACACACTGAGCTGCTTGCTCCCCACAGTCAGCAGTTCAAAGCCACAGCCGGTCCTCAGAAGGAAGAAGAGCAAGTCTGCTCCAGGACAGATGGAAACTCCCCAAAGCCCACAGGGGCAGTAACTCTCACTGTCCTACAGGATTGCCCTGCGGAAGGCCCCAGTAATTTATCGATGGCCACACTCGTAGATCACTAGTGACAGAGCAGGTTCCTCACTTTGAACTTACTAGAGCAAATTGAAAATGGCAACAGGACACTGTTAACCCAATGGCCTTGAAAAGTTCCCTCCTCTCCTTAAAAACAATGAAATATTGGTAGAAATACAATACTACTCAGTTGGGAAAAGGAGCACATGCTGCTACAGGCAATGGCCGTGGGTGGATCGCAAAAACAACGCTGTAGCAAAGATGTCAGCTACAGAAAAGAGTACACACGGTGACTCCATTGATAAGAAACTACAGAATGTAATCTACAGTGACAAAAAGTCCATCAGCGGATGGTTGGGAAAAAGAAAGGTGGAGAATTTATACCAAATGGACAGGTGAAAAAAATTTTTTTGAAAGTGATGGTATTAGTTATACGGGTGAATATAGATATCCAACACACATTACTCTATACTTGAAGTATTACTGTAACAGCTACATAGATGCTCTATGTAATTTTTAATCCCCAAATTAGCAGCAACCGAAAAGGATGGAGCCCTGGAGAATTTTCATTTATGCCACTTTTGTTTCTCAATATCATGCATACACGGTGCTAGGAAGTTTGGAACGGGGTCTCCCCTGAGGGGCTTCATGGCATTCTGGGCACGGGGGAGGGGGTGAGACCGCACCGAAGGGAGACAGAGCAGGGAGCTGGGGAACTCACCACTGAGCAGGCTCCCTGGAGGGAAGCCCGGGTCCGACGCCTCGGAAAAGCTAGCCGAGTTCTTACTGCTCAAACTGCCAGTTGCGACCATGGTCAACGGCTGCGTTTCGCTCGCGGGGCGGAACGGCCTTGGCTGGCAGCTGGGAGACAAGGGGGCAGGTCAGCTTGGTCCCGCAGGGGAGACGTGCAGAGGACCACAAATCGTCCCGGACTCCTGTGCAGAACAGGGCAAGGCGCTCAGCTCACCAAGGGGGCGCCCCTAGCCTGGGCCACCCAAGTTTCCAAAGCCCGGGAGCGGAGGTGCCAGCTGCAGCCACAACTTGAACCGACTTCAAAGTCAGCCAAACTCAGAGGACCCGACCCTGCACCCTGGATTTCGTTCCAGGGACCCGCGCCGCGGGTGCGCCCTCCCCCTCCTCCACCAAGGGCCCCGGCATCACTCACCTGTCGGCTGACACCCTGGGTGGCTGTGCTGTAGGGTAAATCGAGGCTGGCAGCCGCCTCAGTAACCCCCCCTCCTCCCGGAGGCTCGGAGTCCTGCAGACGGAGGCGGCGTCCGTCACCCTGCTCGCCCCCCGCACAACCTGCTCTGGCTCCACAGAGCAACGTCGCGGCCCGGCCCGGGCGGCGAGCGCTTTATAGGGCCCGCCTCGCAGCCAGCCCGGCCCGCCCTCTGGCCCGCCCTGCCGGGTCCCGTTTCAACCTGATCCTTGGAGAGGCCCTGCGCAAACCGCTGAAAGTGGAGGATGAGCCTGGGTTAGAGGGGGGCACCTGCTTGCTCTTGGAGGGACCACGGGTCACTGTGACCCAAATTGTGATTGCACAAGTCATCAAAGACTGATCACTACACACTACACACACACACACACACACACACCCCAAGACCCCCCCCCTTCCTTCCTCACCCCCAGGCCCCCCTTACTTCAAAGTGTTCATGCCATTGTTAAAGATGCTGCCCCAGACAGTGTGAAGCTTTGCACCCTTTGTTTATTACCATGACCCGAGGCTTTGCTTTCCTGATCAGTGCCATCATTTATGTATGTGTTTACTTCTGACCTTTTAGCAAGTGGACTCTACTCCAAGCCTCAGGGTCTTTATAGTCTCCTCTCCTGCCCAAAGAGAGGTCTTCCACGCCCCCCACCCCCACCTCCTTCATACACACACACACTCTGTCTCTCTCTCTGTCTTTCTCTCTCTCTTCACTCTTCTAAGGCTCTCCACCACTTTGGAAAGGTTCTACATCACCCACATCTCTCCCAAACTCCCCGTCATCTGTGATTAATGAGGTTTTTCTCCGTAGCACGGTGAGCCTGGCACTCTGCCCCTGAGACCTGGCCCCAGAGCTGGAGAAGCTCCGATGCGGGGGAATTTCTTGGCTCGGATTGCCAAGAAATGAAACAAAAGCACTAGTGGGGACTGAGCTGCTTCATCTACTTGCACCTGCTTTCTGGGAAGCAAATGCCATCCCCAGAGGCAGGCATACTCTAGTTCAGGTGGGCTTGTGGGGACTTGGGGGAAGTGAACATTAAGAGTTTATATTGTGCTAGAGATAATCCCTGCAGAGGGGGATGTGTTGTCCTAAGAGACACCAAGGGCCTTGAGTCCACGTGCTAGCAAGACCCATAAGCAAGAAGCCAAAGATTATTTTTACCTTCCGAACTTACTAAACCACTCCTTTCCCTCTTTGGTATGCCAGTAGGAAATGTAATGATGGGTTCCCAGGGAGCATTCTCACAGACCGAGGGTGGCGATGAAAATATGGGGATGCCTGCAAAAGGAAAGCTGTTTTGACAAGTATTACATGGCTGTTTTTCCTCATGAGCAAGGTAGACACAGGATTGCTTGTGCTTTTTTGTAGTGAGCAGTTTCACTTGGGTTTTTACTTGTTGGGCAATCTGTCTCCTTATAGTGGAAGGTTCTACTCTTGGCTTGCTGGTCAATTCAGAGTTCCACTTAGTAAAGATCTGCTTGTTAAGGACCCTGAAAGGTGGCTTCAGCTGTCCTGGCTCAAAAACTCGTAGCCAGAAAAACAACAACAGAAGGGTTAAGGCGAGTGTGATAAACAGATCAGTGGGAGGACATTCAGAGGCAGAGCAACAGAAATGAAAGCCAGCTTGACAGTCCATTTTTAACTCGGAGCAGGCAGCTGCTGCCTGAAGGTCAGCTTAGCCAGGGAAGGAGATGCTGATAGGCTGGTCGTGGAAAGCAGATTTCCACTTCTACTTCAATAACAGAAAAGTGGAAAATAAACAAGCCCCTTTAAGCTGATTAAAAAGCCGTTTCAGTGGCTGGTGTGTTCAGACCAATGGCTGAGGTGTGGACTGGTCAGGCTCCCGTGCCAGCTGCCTGACTCTCTGTCTCTGGGCAGGTCAAAGACCCTCCTCTTACCTGGGCAGCGTTATTAATGGGGCTGCCTCTTGCTTGCCCCGAAGGAGAGTTATGGGGATTAATAAAACAAGCGGGTCTCAACTTCTACCACAGAAATAAAAATAAAAAATGTCCAGGTTAATTTCCTTAGGGCATTTAGGCATAACTCACAAGCAGAGTATAACCCCAAAGGGCAAGAAGCATTATTAAAACTTCTGTAAAGTAGCAGCTAGTTTGGGCTCATCTGACCAGCTGAAAGTTGCCTAACTCCTTGGGGATTCTTCTGCAGGAAACAATTTACCTGTGTTCAAAGACTTCTATTATTATTATTTTGCTGAATGGGTATTGCTCTCGGGAATTACAGGCCAGACAGTATGATGAATGGAGCACCCCTACCTAGAATAATAAGTAATGGAAATAGTTGTTTAAAAAAAAACTTTTAAAAGAATAAAATAACCATCTTATCACCCTTTTTTCTACCACTTGTCATTTGTCATATTGTGCTGGCTTGTGTGTTCTTGTGATGCAGGAAGCTTTGAAAGCCACCAGGATTTCAAATGCCCGAAGGGTCACCCTTGATGACCAGGTTCCTGTGGCACTTCCAGACTGAAAAACACTACACAGAAGGAATAGGCTGACCTCTGATAAGGGATGAGCCACTGAAGATCTTATGAATCACACTGGAGCTTTGTCCAACATAGTGTCAAAAGAGAGTGGCTCAAAGGTGAAAGTACTGAAAATATGACGGAGGTACTGAGGTGGAACTATCTTCTCAAAGTAAAGTCAATCATAATGCCATGGAAGCAGGAAAGCTTTCAGGAACTTCATTTGCTGATGTGGAATGACTCAAAGTGAGATGCTATCACTGGAAGCATGCATTGATAATCTGAAGATGGGATAATCAAAGTATGAGCTAGGAAAATTGGAAGAAATAAAAACATGAAAGGGAACACTTTAAGTCTGATATCCCTGACATTAGTGACCTGAGATGGCCATTTTGAATCAGATATCCACATGGCTCACTATGCCTGGAATGGCAAATTCTACAGGAATGGCATCTGATTTGTCACCAGAAAGGACATTTCCTAGATCTATCTTGAAGAGCAGTGTTGTCTGTGATAAGATAATAGCGATATGCAAGGACACCCAACTACTACAGACATTATTCAAATATATGGATCAGCCACAAAACCCAGTGCTGTTTCCCAAAGCACTCTGCTTTGAAGCAGGGTTTGCAATTCATTGCAACGGCCACACAGACCCCACAGACAAGGCTTACAATGACAAGGTTTGTTAAGGACGTTAACAGGTGACAATTTATAGTTGTTGCATCAGGAGCCTTTCTTCTCTGCTGTGCCCACAAGTAGCACCTTGGGCTGGCTTCTGCTCTGCTTGGGAAATAGCACAAAGCTCTTTTGGGGGTTCTAATCAATGTCCAAAGGGCATGCCACTTCACTATAAATTTTAGCCTGAGGGCACTCAGCTCTTGCTCCATGGGTCCTCCAAACCAGTCCCCCAAACCCCCAGTAAGTACTTGGGGAAAACTGATTCCATAAGACAGCCAAAGCACACACAGCTTTGCTTGCTCTGTGGGCTCAAAAGTCTACCGCATTCCCTTAATACAAGAGCACCTTGCTCAGCTAAACAGTCATTTAATGATACCTATCTTCCCAACATGTCGTGTGCATAAGCAAATGTGGTGAAGAAAGCTGATGGTGCCCAGCTATCAAAAGACATAGCATCTGGGGTCTTAAAGGCTTGAAGGCAAACAAGTGGCCATCTAGCTCGGAAACAACAAAGCCCACAGAGAACAAGCACACAAGCCTGTGTGAACACGAGGTGTTGAAGGGATCAGGTAGCAAACACCAAAGAACAAAAACCATCACCGTGTGACCACCTTCCCCACATAAACGCTGAAGACGAATGTGTGCATACGTAAGTGTGGTGAAGAAGGCTGATGGTGCCCGGCTATCGAGACCTATAGCGCCTGGGGACTTAAAGGCTTGAAAGTAAACAAGCGGCCATCTAGCCCAGAAGCAACAAAGCCCGCATGGAAGCAGCACACCAACATGTGTGATCATGAAGAGCTGAAGGGACCAGGCTTTAAGCACCAAAGGTGGGGGAGGGAAAAAAAAATCATATCATCATGAATGAGGGTGGCACGTGATGGGGACCCAATGCCTATCTATAGACAACTGGACATCCCTTGCAGAGGGGTAGTGGGGAGGAGATGAGTCACTTAGGGTTCAGTATAGCAATAATGAAACTCACAACCTTCCCCTAGTTCTTAAACGCTTCCCCACCCCAACTACCATTACCCCAATTCTACCTTGAAAACCTGGTTAGACCAGAGGATCCACAGCGGTACAGATGGGAACTGGAAACACGGAGAATCTAGGACAGATGAACCCCTCAGGACCAGCGGTGACAGTGGCGATACCGGGAGGGAAGGAGGTTAGAAAGGGGGATTCGATCACAAGAATCTACATATAACCCCCTCTCTGGGGGATGGGCAACAGAAAAGTGGATGAAGGGAGATACTGGGCAGTGTAAGATGAGATAAAATAATAATTTATAAATTATTAAGGGTTCATGAGGGAGGGGGCAGTGGGGAGGGAGGGGGAGGAGAAAAAAAGGAAAATGAGCTAATTCCAGGAACCCAAGAGGAAAGCGAATTTTGAGAATGATGAGGGCGACAAATGTATAACTGTGCTTTACACAATTGATGTATGTATTGTGATGAATTGTATGAGCCCCAATAAAATGATTAAAAAAAAAAGTCTACTGCTTTGGCTCATGCGCTGCCTCCTAATTATCTTGCTGCTGCTGTTCCTCTGCCACTCTTGTGCCAAAGTTCTCTGGTGCCAAAGTTAGCTCATAGATTAAGGAAGTCCAATGCATAGGGATCTTGAGTTCCAAAGGACTGGCACCTCTACTGGCTCCTCTTTATGGCTGATAGGAAAATTTCCCCCTTATTCCTTTTGAGATGGCTCATTTCATATTCATCAGGATGACAATCACAATTAACCATGTTAGCAATCATTCCTAGCTGAACCATATAATCTGATCAGCAGACTACCCCCCTACTTCTTATCCAGATCTATTATGCAAACCAGGGTCTTTGGTAGGAGTAATAAAGACAATGGCTAGAAGAACTATATTAAATAATTTACTGATTATAGTTAGTGATGAACAAGTTGAAGAATTT